TGTATGTAATTTTAGATTGCTTGCTTCTAGTTAAAAGATCTTTATAAATTTCCTTATATGGTGCTAAGCACTTATGGAATAAGGGAAAAACATCTGGCAACACCAGAAGCAGAAGCGTCGAGATATGGCAACATTGAAACAAATTTCGAGAAGGACCATGTGTATGGAGACGAGAAAAGAAAATTTACACACTGAAGTACTAATAGTTCACGAAAATAATAATTTTCGTGAACTATTAGTACTTAAGTATGTAAAAATTTATTACATTTCATGTTGTACGAGGGTTTTACCCATTTCTCGAACCGTGTCAGAGTGAATCCGTGTTATAAAAGTACTGTGTTATACGGGGGATGGTAACAATTCTCAAACCGTGTTAGAGCGAATCCGTGCTATAGAAGTACCGTGTTATATGGGGGTTACCTGTATACAGTAAAACCTTCGTAAACCAGAATTGCATTGTACTGAATATTTTTTTCATCTAGGCAAGTTTCCTTTTTATTCAGGTTTAATTTTGGACAGGTTTGATTGTATATTTTTAAAATATGTATATATTTATTATATTTTGCATTAAATGATTAATATCGAAATTAAAAACAAATGACAATTCAATTAGCTGTAAAATTCTGCCAGGTGTTCATGTGAGAATAACTATACAAACAAGGAACCACAATTAAAAACTATATACATGATGTAGAAATTGAAATGAATAAAATTATGCTGTATATGCAAGTTTTTATCAAATTTTTCAGGTTAAACTTCATTTACATTTGTCTTAAACTTATATTGATCACAATTGTTTATTAAAAATTTTGAAATAATAAAATTATAAATTTAAATGAAAATGTTGCTTCATTATATCATATTTGTGTAATGGATGACAAACTCTTAATTTAGATAGCATGATATATCTTCTCTACACGTTGTAGACCCATGGTATTCCCACTTAATGTGGGGGATGCATTCCTAGATGACAGAGCACTAAACAAAACAGCATTAAATGAGGTCATTTTAACATAAAGTAAATAGGGAAAGGGGAACACAGGACCAAAAATAAACAAATTTTACTTTAATTTTAAGTTATTTTTATATTAGTTTCCATAATAATATATGCTAAATAACACACAAACATAAGCATACACAAATGTAGTTTTTTTTATGATGAAAATCCTGATATTTTTGAAATTCTTGTTTTTTGCAATAAAGTCATGTAATTTGATTTGTCACTTTCTTTTTCTTTCGTTAAGCAAATGTCGATAGCAGGAGATTGCATTCAAAGCGCCTGGGTTTGCTTTTGCACTCCTTTCAAAATCTGGATCATTCACTACGATTTGATCAATGATTTCGATTATCATTACCAAACTTTTACTGAAGAAATCTGTAGAGAAATTTTTTGAGTTCTTTGCTCTTCAGAATCTTTATTTTCCAGTTCTACATGAATTAGCTTTTTCTGCCAGTTCTTGAAGGTCGTCGTTAGTAAGGCTCTCACCAGAAACCTGCAGTAACTCCTGAATATCCTGCTCATCTACATCTCCTAGTCCTGCTGTATCGATTAGGTTGACAATTTGGTCAACCTAGTGATACAGCGATAGGCTCTTCTTGTTGAGAATTCTTGGATACCTTCGGCGATAACTTCTTCCACACTTTGTTCATGCATTTATCAGTTAATTCTTGCTAAGCCAAGTTAATATTTCCTATGGCATTCATAATGTTATATTTTTTCTAAAATTGTTCAAAACAAACATAGATTTAAGGAAAGTACAGCACTACGACGAATTGCAACCTTTTGCTGATTGGTTTGCATTCAATGAAATGTTGCGATAATTTAATTTAGCGTAAATTTTGAGCTTTTTTTAGGTTTGAGCATATATATGTATATATATAGTATATAAAATAACATTCTAATATAGGATGCAGTTATTGCATGTTTCTGATATGTTGTGTATATTTCTTCTATTGTGACAAGATTTGGCCATCCCTGTTATAGACTATATTATAAAATGTCAAATTCCTGTACTGCAAGTTTTGAAGTTTTAGTAATCAGAGTAACTTTTATTAAAAAACTTAGTTTGATTTTGTCACTTATGTTCTTTTATTTGACCACTATAATGCTCTATCAATTTTATTTTTATATTTGAATTGTTGTACAATATGATTATTTATTATTACTTATTACATATAATGACAATCTCTATTTTCTATTAAAAATTAAATTTAGTGATAATAAATGATACTAGGAATTTTCAAATCATCATATATCATATTGCTTATTGAAAATTTTATTTTTATAATTTATTTTATAAATTAATAAAATTGATTGGTAACATTATATAACTTTATTTTTATTTTACTATTTCTAATGAATTAGATATAAGAAAACTTTTTTTTTTTTCATAAAAATCTCATCAAAAGTTTTTGACAATATATTACATTAATGAAAATTGCTTGTTCAATGTTATTTAAAGATCATATTTTATGATAAGTTTAATATAACTTTTAACTATATAAGTTTAATATAACTTTTAACTATATTCTCATAATTAACATATTCTTTTACTACATAAGCAAAAATATTTTGTGAGAAAACAAAATTTTTCTGAGAAATGGACTTTATTACTGAGAGATTTATTTACATTATGTAAACATAAGTATATTAGATTATAGTATCAAAATTTTAATAAGTTTTTAAAAGATGTTTGCAGTCAAATTTAAAAATACATTTATACAGAAAAAAATTGTTTACTGTTGACAAATATGCCACAATTTTTGATATAACAGAAAATTAAAATTGTAAGCATTAAAAGACAAACACCGTTTTTTTGGAAAAGACCTAGAGGCACTTGCAGAGAAGCTTGATAAATTAGGCCAATATGCAAATTGTTAAATTATTTTTGTTTTATAATGATTATATTTCTTTAACAGCTATAATTAAAATAATATTATAATAAATATAAATTAAAATAACCTCT